AAGGATTTTGCTGGGATTATGATGGGAATTACATTGAATCTGTAGATTACTTTTTGATAAGATTGCCATTTTTATTATGTTAATTCTACCTACCCAAGAGCATGGGAGATCTTTTCACTTTCTGGTGTCTTCTTCAATTTCTTTCTTCAAAGATTTAAAATTCTTGTCATATAAGTCTTCCACTTCTTTGGTTAGAGTTACTCCAAGATATTTTATGTTATTTGTGACTATTATGAAGCGTGATGTTTCTTTGATTTCTTTCTCAGTCAATTTATCATCTGTATAAAGGAGGGCTACTAATTTTTTTGAGTTAATCTTGTATCCTGCTACATTACTGAAGGTGTTTATGAGTTGTAGAAGTTCCTTGGTAGAATTTTTGGGGTTGCTTATGTAAACTATCATATCACCAGCAAATAGTAAGAGTTTGATTTCTTCTCTTCCGATTTGTATCCCCTTGATCTCCTTCTGGTATCTTGTTGCTCTAGCTAGGACCTCAAGAACTATATTGAATAGATAAGGAAAGACTGGACAACCTTGTCTTGTTCCTGATTTCAGTGGGATTGATGGAGTTTCTCTCCATTTAGTTTGATGTTACATATTTGTTTGCTGTATATTGCTTTTATTATATTTGGGTATATTCCTTGTATCCCTGCTCTCTCCAAGACCTTTAGCATGAAGGGATGTTATATTTTGTCGAAAGCTTTTTCAGCATCTGATGAGATGATCATGTGGTTTTTATTTTTCAGTTTGTTATATGGTAGATTACGTTGACAGATTTTCATCTGCATCTCTGGGATGAAGCTGACTTGATCATAGTGGATGATGTGTTCTTGGATTCAATTTGCCAGTATTTTATTTCAAAAGACTTTGGCAATGTTCCTTCTGTTTCTATTATGTGGAATAATTTGAGGAGTACTATTATTAGTTCTACTTTGAAAATCTTGTAGAATTCTGTGCTGAAGCCATTTGGTCCTGGGCTTTTTTTTTTTTTTTTTTTTTTTTTTTTTTTTTTTTTGGTTGTGAGACTTTTGATGACTATTTCTATTCTTTAGCAGTTAAAGGTCTATTTTATTTGCTCATCTGATCTTAATTAAATTTTAGTAAGTGATGTTTATCCAGAAAGTTGTCCATTTCCTTTAAGTTTTCCGTGGAGTACAGGTTTTTGAAATATGATCTAATGATTCTCTGGATTTCCTCCATGTCTGTTGTTATGTCTCCCTTTTCATTTCTGATTTTGTTAATTTGGACATTGTCTCTCTGTCTTGTGTTTAGTTTGGATAAAGGTTTGTCTATTTTGTTGATTTTCTCAAGGAACCAACTCTTTGTCTCATTGAATCTTTGTATTGTTTTCTTTGTTTCTATTTTGCTGATTTCAGCTCTCAATTTGATTATTTCCTACTGTCTAGTTCTCCTGGTTGAGTTTGCCTCTTTTTGTTCTAAAGGTTTGAAATGTTATATTAATTCACTAGTGTGGAATTTTTTCAGTTTCTTTATATAGGCATTTAGTGCTGTAAAATTTCCTCTTAACACTGCTTTCATTGTGTCCTATAATTTTGGATATGTTATATGGTCATTTTCATTGAATTTTAGGAAGTCTTTAATTTCTCCCTTTATTTCTTCCTTGACCCATTGATGATTCAGATGAGCATTGTTTAATTTCCATGTGTTTGTGAGCTTTCTGGAATTAGGGTTGTTGTTGAATCTTAATTTTAAGCCATGTTGATCCGGTAAGATACATGGGGTTATTTCAATTTTTTTTTTTGCATCTGTTGAGGTTTTTTTTTGTTGTTGTTGTTACCTAATGTGTGGTCAGTTTTTTAGAATGTTCCATGAGGTGCTGAGAAGAAGGCATATTCTTTTATGTTTAGATGGAATGTTCTATAGATATCCATTAAGTTCATTTGAGTCATAATATCTGTTAGTTCCCTTATTTTTCTGTGAATTTTTTGTCTGATTGACCTGTCCAGTGGTGAGAGGGGAGTGTTGAGGTCTCCCACTATTAGTGTGTGTGTGGTTCAATGTGTGATTTAAGCTTAGAGGTGTTTCTTTTACATATGAGGGTACCCTTGTATTTGGGATATAGGTGTTCGATATTGAAATTTCCTCTTGATGGATTTTTCCTGTGACTAATATGAAATGCCCTTCTTTGTCTCTTTTGACTGATTTCAATTTGAAGTCTATTTTGTTAGATATTAGGATAGCTACACCAGTTTGTTTCTTAGGTCCATCATTTAATTGGAAAATTTTTTCCCAACCCTTTACTCTGAGGCAATGTCTGTCTTTTGAGGTTGAGGTGTGTTTCTTGTATGCAGCAGAAGGATGGATGCAGTTTTCATATCCAATCTGTTAGCCTATGTCTTTTTGTAGGTGAGTTGAGTTCATTTATATTAATGGATATTAATGACCAGTGATTGCTATCTCCTGTTATTATAGTTTTCGTTGCTGGTGATGTTACTTTTTGTGTTTTTCCCTTCTTTGGGATTTGCTGCTGTGAGATCATCTATTGTCTGTGGTTTTGTTGATGTAGCCAACTTCCTTGAATGGGAGTTTTTTTTCTAGTACTTTGTGTAGGGCTAGGTTTGTGGCTAGATATTGGTTATATCTGGTTCTGTCATGGAATATCTTGTTTTGTCCTTCTATGGTAATTGAAAGTTTTGCTGGGTATAGTAGTCTGGGCTGGCATCCGTGGTCTCTTAATGTTTTCATAACACTTGACCAGGACCTTCCGGCTTTCATTGTTTCCATTGAAAAGTCAGGTGTAATTCTGATAGGTCTGTTTTTATAAGTTATTTGATCTTTTCCCTTTGTAGCTCTTAATATCCTTTCTTTATTCTGTATGTTTAGTGTTTTGATTATTATGTGGCGAGGTGACTTTTTTTTTGATCCAGTCTATTTGGTGTCCTGTAAGTTTCTTGTATCTTCATAGACACATCTTTCTTTTGGTTAGGAAAGTTTTCTTCTATGATTTTGTTAAACATATTTTCTGTGCTTTTAGTTGAACTTCTTCTCCTTTGTCTTTACCTATTATTCTTACATTTGGTCTTTTTGTGGTGTTTGAGGTGTCCTGGATATTTTGTATTAAGTTTTGTTAGATTTAATGTTTTCTTTGACTGATGAGTCTATTTTATCTATTGTATCTTCAGTGCTTGAGATTCTGTCTTCCATCTCTTGTATTCTTCTGTTTATGCTTGTATTTGTGGTTCCTGATTGTTTTCCAATGATTTGTTTCTATAATTCCCTCAGCTTGTATTTTCTTTATTGTCTCTATTTCAGTTTTCAAGTCTTGAATAGTTTTTTTTTCATATGTTTGATTTCTTTTTCATGGTTTTCTTTAAGGGATTTGTTGATGTGTTCCAATTTTTTATTTGTCTTTTCCTTCATTTCTTTGGGGAAATATTTCATTTCCTCTTTAAGGGCCTCAAACATTCTTCTAAAGTTACTTTTTAGGTCATTTTCTTCTGTTTTATCTATATTTGGTTGTTCAAGTCCTGCTATTGTAGGGTCACTAGTTTTTACTGGTGTAGCGTTTCTCTTTGTGGTGTTGCGTGTGTTCTTACCTTGTCTACCCATGTTGCCCGATGATTGGTATAGTTGAGGCTGTTTGTGACTCCAATGATCAATCTTGCAGGTGCCAGTGGATCTAAGGCTCAGGTGGTTGCTCCTTGTGGTGCAGTCAGGGCCACAGTTCCAGTCACCCATTGGTCAAGCCGTGTTTCTAGAGGTCGCTTGGTACTCCCAGGGTTTGCTCTGCAATAGAAGGGGTCATCTGGGCATGCTCCCACAGATATAACTTGCTTGAGGCTTTTTCTGCTGAGGTTGCTGCCTTAGGCCTGCTCTAGGAGAGGTCCTGGCTCAGCACCTCTTCCTTCCTCTGTGGTTCCGGATTTTCATAGGGATCAGCAGAGGTCCTGGCTCAGGCCTACTCCCTCAGTGGTTGCTCCCTTGTATCTGCTCCTGTAGAGTTCGCTATCTCAGGCCTGGGCCAACCTAGGTCTCTGGCTCAGTCCTCTTTCTTTAAGTGTCCCTGATCTGGGTCCACTCCTGCTGAGGCCCCTGGCTTGGGCTTGGTCCCTCAAAGGTCTCTGGCTGCGGTCTACTCCCTCGGAGGTCCCAGACTTATGCCTGGATCTGCAGAGGTTTCTGGTTCCGGCCTACTCCCTCAATGGTTGCTCCCTTGTACCTGGTCCTGTGGAGTTTGCTGCAGTCCTGCTCAGGCCTAGGTTGCTGGCTCAGTCCTATTTCCTTAAATGCCCCCTGGTCTGGGTCTGCTCCTGCCAAGGTCCCTGACTTGGGCTTGGTCCTGCAAAGGACTCTGACTCCAATCTACTCCCTTGGAGGTCACAGACTCATGCCAGGACCTGCAGGTCTCTTATTCCTGCCTCCATCATCCTTGTTCTTAATCACAGCAAATCACTTAACATTCTAGGATCTCAGCATCCCCATTTGTAAGTGAAGACATAAATAGCGCTACATCCTGAGTGTGGAGGCACACACCTGTAGTCCCAGCACTCTAGAGGTCCAGGCAGGAGGTTTAGGAAGTCAAGGCCGTTCTCTGATACTTAGGAAGTTTAAGGCAATCATGAGCTACACTCATTGGAAACACTCATGTGTGCTCCTGAGCATACACACACATGCACACCATAATAGAACTTCACAGGCTCTGTAAGAGTGCATTGATAAGCTACACATAGAGTATGCAGAAGCATGCCTGACTAGATCATTGAAATGGCTCAATGCGCAAAGTATCTTTGTTTTCTCTGGTCTTGTAGCCAAGGCTGATGACCTGAGTTCAAACCCTCAGACATATACAGTGAAAGGAAAGAACTGATTTCCAAAAGCTGCCCTCTGACTGCTACGTGTGTGCTGTGGCATGCGTACACCCACACACAAACAAGTGTGAATGAAAATTAATTTACAAAAAAAATTGTAAAGAATGCCTGATATTTTGTAAGATGTTCATGCTCTGTTTGTTTTTTAACCTGCTTTTCTCCCTCCTATAGCCTTGCCTTCTCGGCCCCCATGCCGCCCTGGCCACCTGTCTCCAAAACCCTCTGGCTTCTACTACCAAGACAGATGGCACTCAACGTTCTGTTCTAGCCGCTCTTTCCCCACTGTGAGCAGCATCCTGAACTGCCTGGCTGGCCGCATTGTCTACATGATGGGGGATTCCACCCTTCGGCAGTGGTGGGAGTATCTACGAGACACCGTGCCCTGTGAGTGACCATGGGGTCAGAGGAGGGCCTGTGAGGACTCATGATGGGAAAGTCAGGCAACACTGACATTGAAGGAGACTCCCTTGGTAGAGAGGTAGGACAGGATGCTGGACTTTCCCGAAAAGCAGGTGGGTGAATGAAGGAGTGGGATGTTTTGCTTTGTTCTATGAGACAGGGTCTTACTAAGTACTCCTCGTTGACCTGGCACCCACTGTGGTTATCAGTCTGGCTTCAAACTCAGAAAATCAACCTACCTGAGCATCCTGAGTGCTAGAATTAAAGGCATACCCCACCAAGCCCAGCTAGGGGTTAGTTATAAAAACTGTGTGTGTGTGTGTGTGTGTGTGTGTGTGTGTGTGTGTGTGTGTGTGAAGTGTGTGTGAAGGCAGTCTCATGTATCCCAGGCTGTCCCGGAATTCCATATGTAGCCAAGGATAACTGTTGTGATATTTTGTTCATGTTCTGATGAATAAAACTTGCCTGAAGATCAGAGGGTAGAGCTAACCACTGGTTAACAATAGAGGTGTGAAGATCTGTACAGGCAGGAAACAGGAAGTGATATGGCTGGGCGGAGAGAGAAAGTGGTAAGGTAGGGCATAGACAGGATCTCAGCCCTTTTTCTATCTGAGGATTTAGAGAGGTTAGAGGTGACTGTGGCTGTTCCTTTGCTTCTCTGATCATTCAGCTTTAACCCTGATATATGACTCCAGGTTTTTATCATTAAGACTAATTAGAATTATGCTTCAGATGACCTTGTAGTTCTGATCCTCCTGTCTCCACCTCTCACGTGTTGAAATTCCAAGCATATGCTACATACACCCAGCTTGGAATATTTCAGATATAACTTGGGGATTGCATGCTAGGCAAGCTCGCTACTAGCCAAACTATATCCCAGCCTGCAAGAATGACATTATAACCAGGGAGTTGCCTTCCTTTTTAGTTAGTCAGAGATCATGAAAATAGCTAAAGGACAGTGCAACAAACCTTTCAACAATGCAGTGGTTGATGTTCCAAAAGAGTCATCTTGAGTTTCTACCTAACATCATCAGTCAGCTTCTTGTGTATATGTGTGTGTGCATGTGAATATGTGTGTATATGTTCATGTGTGCGTATGTTCACACGTGTGTGCATGTGCCCGTTTGTGTAAATCCACATGTGTTTGTGTGCCAAAGGGGAGGACCAAAAACAATTTCTACTGTCATTCTTAGATACAGCCTGCTATATTTTATTTTTTATTACTATTGTATGTGTCTGTAATAAGTGTGTGCAAGGCTGTGTACATGTCATGGAACATGTGTAGATGTCGGAGAATAGCTTCCAGAAGTCGCTTCTTTCCTCCCAGGGATGGAGCTCAGGTGGTCAGGCTTGCACAGAAGGCACCTTTACCTCATGAGTCATCTCACTAGCCCTAGCCGCACTAGGAGCAAGCATTCTATGATCATTGGATCATGGTAAAATGCTGAAGATGCTAGGGTCTCAGTGTCCCTACCTCTAAGTGAAGCTAGAAATACTTCTGCAACCTGAGTGTGGCAGTGCACACGTATAGTCCTAGCACTCTGGAGATAGAGGCAGGGATTTAGGAAGTCAAGGTCATTCTCAGCTACAAAGAAGATTAAAGTCTAGCATGAGCTACATAAGATTTTGTCTTAAATGCTAGTGTGCTCATTCTCTCTCTCTCTCTCTCTCTCTCTCTCTCTCTCACACACACACACACACACACACACACACACACTTTATAACAGAATATATTTGGAGACAAGTTCTCTCTTTAGCCTAGAAGTTTCCAAATGGCAAGGCTGACTGTTCATCAAGCCCAAGAATCCTATCTATACCTCGCCAGCTCTAGAGTTACAACCGCAAGGCACCGTTGCGGTTCTGATTCTTTTAAAATATGGGATCTGGGGATCACGCTCAGGTCTTCATACTTGTATAGCAAGTCTCTAGAACTGAGCAACACCCCAGTGTGTCACTAGAGGATTATAGGCAGGTACTCGACCACTTGCCACCCCTCTTCCGGTGCCTGTTGGGAGATTTTAGGCCGGAGCTCTACCACTGAGCCATGCCCCAGCCACACCCAAGTGTTGAGCATTAGCCTCTGAAGATCCAGGAAGGGCCAGGGGAGTGTAACTCAGTAGTAGAGTGCTTGTCTAGCACCTGAGAGGCCCTGGGTTCCGCTCCCCTCACCCTCAGAAGAAAAGAAGGAAGAAGTAGCATGATCGTGAGTACAAGGATAATTAAAAATGGTCATATACAGGGCCTAGAGAGGTAACTCCATGGTTGAGGGCACTGGCTGCTCTTCCAGAGGACCCAGGTTCAATTCCCAGCATCCACATGGCAGCTCGCAAACTCCAGCTCCAGGGGGCTGACACCCTCATGGAGACATACATGCAGGCAAAATACCAATGAATACAAAATAAGAATAAACCGTATATCTGTTTCAAAATGGTCACAGACAGTGACTCACAGCTGCCCATTACTCAAGCACCAGAGAATCTTTGGGTAGCTGCACTTCCTTGCACATATTGGCAGACAGACACACACAAACATACACATAATTTAAAAAATTCAAAACAGACAAATGTGGTATGTAACATCTCCCAGGATCTGGGAGGCAGAAGCAGGTAGCTCTCTGTGAATTTAAAGCTAGCCTGGTCTAGCCTGTTCAGGTCAGCCAAGGCTACATAGGGAGACCTTGTCTCAAAAACTAAGGTAGAAACTGGGTGGGGTGATACACATGCAATTCCAGCAAGGAGAAGTAGACACAGACGGATCAGGAGCGCAAGATCATCGTTGGTATAAAGTGTGAGCCCAGCCTGGGCTGCAACATGAGAAGAACCTGTCTCAAAATAAATAAACACTTTTAGATAGACAGGGTTTAGTGCTACACACCTATAAGGCCAGCACTCAGGAAACAGGCAAGCAGATCTGTGACTCTGAGGACCCGTCGTGAGTTTCAGGCCAGCCAGGACCACATCGTGAGACCTTGTGTCAAGAAGAAGAAGAAGAGCATTTATTTGTATAAGATGATTCACAATCCTATGTTAATTTATTATTAAATTTCTACTACATTTATTTATTTATTTGGCGTCTATATGGGACAATCACTTGCTACCATGTGTGTGAGGGGATCCTAGGTCAATGTACAAGAGCTGTTTCTCTCCTCCCACCCTATGAATCTTAGGGGTTCAAACTCAAGGCACCAGGGCTGTCATCTGAGACATCTTCCTGATCCCCTATGTTAATATTTTCTTTCTCCTCCTCCCAACAGCTCTGAAGCCAGTTGATCTACATGTCCAATACCAGGCAGGTCCCCTGATGGCTGTGGACACAACTCGGGGGACAGTGTTGCACTGGAGGGCCCACAGCTGGCCCCTGCGCTCTCGTCGCACTCCAGTGGCCTCCTTGCACTCTGTGGCCAGAGTTCTGCATGGCCTGGCCGGGGGTCCCTATACAGTGGTGGTGCTTGGTATGGGAGCCCACTTCACCACCTTCCCTCCATCCATCTTTGCTCGAAGACTGGCAGGGATTCGGGAAGCTGTGAAAGCCCTGCTGGACAGGGAACCCAGTACTCTGGTGGTTATCAAACTGGCCAATACTGGCTACAAATCCGTGTATGGCAGTGACTGGCTCACAATCCAGGTGAACAGGTTCCTCCGCGCTGCCTTTGATGGTCTCCAAGTGGCCTTTGTGGATGCATGGGAAATGACCTCCAGCTTGGCTGTACCGGACGACATCCACCCAAAGAGGCTTATTGTCCGCAATGAAGTGGAATTATTCCTGTCCTTCATCTGTCCCACCTGAGTGCTCCTGAGGGACCTGAGAATGAATGGAGGCAGAGCCTGGGTGGGGGCCATCAAAATGGTGGACAGCAAATGATGGGTAGCTGAGGCTACCCCTGGCTCACCCACTGTAACACTTGGGTCACCATATTTTATACATCTTTCTATGGACCACACGGATAAGTCTAATTTTATATAAATGAGATGATATTTTACACAGTGTCTTCTACTTGATGGGTTGTGGTTGTATATGGTGAACCCGGATCTAGGCTGGCAGCCAGGAAGGGTCACTAATCCTTTTGTGTCTATCACCCACAGCCCTGGGCTTACAGCACAAGTTCTTATCGGTTTTTTTATGTGGTGTTGGGGCTTCAAACTCAGACCCTGATATTTGTGCCCTTATCCACTGAACTATCCCAAATCATACCTTCGCTTCCTTGTTCCAGCTTCCCGAGTGCTGTGATTACAGCCACACAACCACCCTGTGTTTTATGTTTAATTAGGTTGATAACAGATTTTGCAGTCCATGAGCAAGAATGCAGATCCCTTGCACCTTGCACCTATAGCTTCTCCCAATGATAACAGCTTGCAGAACTGTGTGTAGTCAGCTATCACAACCAGGATGGGAATGTGGGGAAAAACTAAAAGTCTTATCCAGATGTTTCTACTTTTGTTTATGTTTTCCAAGACAGGGTCTGTTTGTGTAGCTTTGGAGCCTGTTCTGGAACTCTCTCTGTAGACCAATCTGGCCTTGAACTCACTGAGATCCACTTGCCTCTGCCTTCCAAGTGCTGGGATTGAAGGCATGAGCCACCACGGCCCAATTGATGTTGCGACTTTTCATGGTATATTGTCTAGCTGACCTGGCGCCAGAGGAATAGCAAGTAACCTCCACTGGCCATAAAATCCAGCTGGGTTATACCTGGTCTGGCTCTGGAGTTTTCACACCGCCCCTAGAACTTCCTTTGTGTTACAAATGCCTTTTGTTGTCCTATGTGAACTCTTGACTGAGTATTTCCCATGGATACAAGGCCTATACAAGAACTTGCTTTAAAGGAAACCCAAACACCTTGGTACCTCATGAATCAGGTATTTGCACCTGGCATTGTATCGTCAGAGGCTCCTATCAGTTTGTTTTGAGATATGGAAATCCACAAGCTAAAGTGTAAATATAGGAAAAAATAAAGATGCTGGGAGGTGAAGGGAAGGCTCCTCAGTTCACGGAGACTGAGCCCCTGCAGCCACAGAGGCTAAGTTCATTACCAATGTGTCTCTGAGTCTTCATTTCACGGACACGCGTGAACCCACACAACCATGACGAAATATTCGCAACAACTTTTATTTGAGCTTTGGCTCCTTTGTTGTTGTTTGTTTGTTTGTTTGTTTTATTTTTGTGAATCTGAGCTTGGATCCCAGGGCCTGTGCATGTTAGACACTGCTCTACCACTGAGCCACACCCCAGCCCATCACTAGAGGATTCTAGGCAGGGGCTCTACCACTGAGCCACACCCCAGCCCCTCCCTGGGGGATTCTAGGTAGGGGCTCTACCACTGAGCCACACCCCAGCCCCTCCCTGGGGGATTCTAGGTAGGGGCTCTACCACTGAGCCACACCCCAGCCCCTCCCTGGGGGATTCTAGGCAGGGGTTCTACCACTGAGCCACACCCCAGCCCCTCACTGGGGGATTCTAGGCAGAAACTTTACCACAGAGCCACACCCCAGCTGCACACTAGAGTGTGATGGGTATGTAATACACAGGAGCTGCCTCAAGACAGGGTTAAAGTACTAGTGACTCTCTGGAAAGAACTCAAGACCAAATTAGAAGAAAAATAAAACAAAGTATCTCATTTAACTTAAATTAAGATTTAAGATAAGGGGCTGGAGAGAGAGCTCAGAAGTTAAGAGCATTGCGTGTTCTCCCAGAAGACCTGGGTTCAATTTCCACCACCCGCATGGCAGCTCACAACTGTCTGTAATTTCAGTGTAGTATGACACCCTCACACAGATACATGTAAACACCATAAAATTAACAACAAAAAGATTTAAGTTAAATCTCATTTAACTTTACCTTCTCGAAGTCAGGATTTCCAAACACAGTCCTGTCAGTGGTTAGAGTGTCGATGTCTAAAGTTAGGAAGACAAGCAAAGCCACACAAAAGATAAAATGAGAACATTTCCTGGACTCTAGTGAGGCTCCGCTGTGGACACTTGTGTGTGTCAGAAAGAAGAATGGCCCATTTCCAAAGGAGACATGCGACAGCCTAGGTCCAGACAACAATAATAACAGAACCCCGAGGACCCTGCTAGCATGTGCTAATCTAACTAGCCCTCAACAAACTAAAGGGTTAGAAGAAAAAAAGTAAATTGTTGGAGCAGGAGTGATGACTCCGTGGTTTCGAGCACTGGCTACTCTTTCAGGCCAGATTTGATTCCCAGCACCGTCTGATGGCTCGTAACTGTTTGGTTGGATGCTCCACCCCAGCCCCCTCCCCTGGGAGTTGCCGCAGTCCAGACTCCACCTCCAAGAAAGCCTGCCAAATGGTGACCCCTCCCCAGAGAGGGTATAGACCACTCTCACAGGGTATTTAAACTGTCCCCCACAGGACGAACATGTGGTCTTTCCAGTTCTCCTTTCCCCCCTCAATGCCCCCTCCGTCTTTCTGCCAAGGGGGCCTTACAGCCCCCACCCCTATCCCCCTCCACTCCCCCACTCCCCCCACCCCTTCACTCCCCCACCCCTGGGAGAGCTGGCATCCATTAAACCTGGGCTTTTTCTAATTCAGTTTGATTTGGTCTAATTTTGATTATTGCTTTGGCAGAGAGGCTTATCCGGCCATAAAAATTTTACAATAACCATCTCCAGTTCCAGGAGACCTGAAACCCTTTTCTTGCCTCCACAGGCCTTGCATACAGGTGGTGCACATACGTACAGGCAAAATGTTCATACACACACAGCCAACTAAATAAATCTAATTTTAAAAAAATTTATCAATGTCTGCTTGCCTGCAGACTTGACAAAGTCATGATAAATCCTTATAATAAGTGGGTTAGGGGCTGAAGAGATTGCTCAGTGATTGAGTGATTGCTTCTCTCTGGCAGAGGACCCCAGTTTGGTGGGCACTGTACAACACCTAGTAACTCCAGTTCCAATGGAAACAATGGCCTCTTCTGGCCTCCATTGGCATAAGCACCTGCACACATATAGCATACATTCACATAGATACACACACCTACAAAAGAACAAAAAATAAAAATAAAGCTAGCTGTGGCAGTGCACACCTTTAATCCCAGCACTCGGGAGGCAGAGGCAGGCGGATCTCTGTGAGTTCGAGGCCAGCCTGGTCTACAAGAGCTAGTTCCAGGACAGGCTCCACAGCTACAGAGAAACTCTGTCTCTAAAAACCAGAAAAAAAAATAGAAAAAGAAATGGACAAATAAGACAGGCGTGGTGGTACACACTTTAAATTCCAACACAAAGGAGGCAGAGGAAGGTAGACTTCAGTGAGTTCAAGGTCAACCTGGTCTACATAGTCAGTTTCAGGAAAATCAGGGGTACATAGAGATACTCTGTCTCAAAACATACAGAAAGAAGAATAAGAAGAGGAAAAAGAAAGGGAGGAGCAGGAGGAGGAGTCAAAGATGTGTGGCAGAGAGAAAAGTAAGACCCAGTATATTTTTCAGGGTTCTCTTGAGTAAAGTAACAAAACTTATAGAATGAATGTGTGTTGGTGTGGGACAATTCTATATTCTGTAAATTATGTTTTAAATAAATGCTGATTGGCCAGTAACCAGGCAGGAAGTATAGGTGGGACCACCAGACAGGAAGTAGAAGCAGGTCAATGAGAATAGGAGAATTCTGGGAAGGAGGAAACCCATTCCTGCCCAGTCCTGTCCAGACACTGAAGAAGCAGGATGTGACCTGCCCCTTTGAAAAAGGTACTGAGCCATGTGGCTAACATAGATAAGAATACTGGGTTAATATAAGTTATAAGAGCTAATACAAAGCCTGAGTTAATGGGCCAATCAGTTTATATCTAATGTGTGTGTGCATGTATGTATATGTGTGTATATATATATATATATATGTGAATGTATGTGTGTGTGATTTAGATGCATATATATATATACACATAGGGAATTTATTAGAATGACTTACAAGCTGTGACTTACAGTGTAGTGAATTACAATGGCTGATGATGAATGGAAGGTCCAAGAATCCAGTAGCTGTTCAGTCCACTAGGCTGGATGTCTCAGATGGTCTTCAGTAAACACTAGACTTGCAAGGAAGTAGGCTCTACTGCCAGTGAAGGAATAAATGGACTTGCCAATGAGGCAGGAGCAAGCAAGCAAAGAGCAAAGGCTTCATTCTTCCATGTTCTTAAATAGACTTGCAGCAGAAGGCATGGACCTGAATAGAGGTGGGTCTCGTCACCTCAAAAGATCTGTATTAAAGATATGTCTTCCCACTGCGAAGATCTGAATTAAAAGTGCATCTTTCCACTTAAGTAATCAAAAGTCCCTCATAGGTGTGCCCCTTCATTTTGGGGTTTCAATTAATCCCAGAGATAGTGAAGTTGACAAGCAAAAATAGCCATCACACTCCCCAAACTCCTTTTTAGTCATGGTGTTTTATCACAGGAATAGAAGCCATAATTAAAATGGGTGGAAATGGATTGCTTCATGTTGGGGAATTGTGGGCCAGCACAACCAACATGGCCTTGAACTCTTGATTCTACTCCTCCTTCTTCCTCTCTTGCAGGTTGGAATTACAGGTCAGCGCTATCATATCTGGGGCTGGGTACCCACAGAGAAGACTAAATGGGCTCGGGTTTAAGCCAATGGAAAGTCTTTATTAGCTGACTGGGGAATGTGCTGGGGGTTTGGGATCCCGGTGTAGCCTTGAGTCTTTCTAAGGGTGAGCTTTTAAGCGTAGAAACCAAAACATGTTCTGGGTTGGTATACTTCAGTTGACAGGAGCTGTTAGCCGGAAGCAGAACTATAGAATCCATAAAAGCAAGGTTAGTACTTTTAGAGACTTTCCCAGAAGTTTGATTAGTTAGGTCTTTGTTTTCATTTTGACAGGTGGTATTATCTATAAACTGAGCTTTATGGGCTAAAACTTCCATAGTGGAGTCAGTTGTAATAAAATCTGGGAACCGACAGAGACCTGGAGGCCTGTTACATTCCCCAGTCACGTTAGTGGATGAGTCAAATTGTGGACTCACACTGCTCTAAAGTTTAGTTGGTCTTAAGAACCATTAATTATACTTAATTAACCCTTTGTTTTTCATAATTGGCCATAGAATTGAAGAAACAAGATCCCCACTGTTAATTTCATCAGAATGAAAATTATAGACCCAGCCAGTGCTGACAGCAGAGTGGTTAGCCAGTGGGAACAAAAAAAAAAACAAAAAACAGAGATTCATACCAGTTATCCGATTTATGTCTTTGTCTCTTTTCCTTGTAGTCCACAGTCCTTATTAAAATGTAGTTTCCCAGGCTAGAGAGTTGGCTTAGTGGTTAAGAGCACTGCTTGCTCTTCCAGAGATCCTGAGCTCAATTCCCAGTGACCACATGGTTACTCACAACCATCTGTAATGAGATTTGGCACCCTCT